CTCTGGACTGGGTGTGCAGGTTCTACTGGCAGGGAGCTCGGGCCAGCAGATGAGCCAGATTTATTGTGACATCACTCTGGTCTGGGTCCTCGAAAGAAAAAAAAAATTCATGCTTAGTGCCTGGCAACTGTAGTTCCTGGCATTCCTGCTATGTTGCCATTATTTCTGTGTTCTGAATAGGTTGTCTCTCTGGAGCCTGCAGAGGGAGAGGTGCCTTGTCAGAAGCGAATTTCCAGTTGAGTTAGGTGGAGGGGAAAAGAGGAATTTGTCAGGTGCTGGAGAAGAAGGGGCATGCCAGGCTGAGCACAGGTAGGTGGTGGAAGCAGCTGCAGCTTGGCTGGCATGGCTGGGAACTGCAATGGAGGTATCAGGCCGGATGAAGGGCATGGGGTGGAGCTTCGCCCCAGTGGGGCATCTAGTTGCAAATCCAAGAGAGGTATCTCTGGCTTCATTTAATAAAGATGAACTATGCATCTGAAATGGTGAGATCAGCAATAATCAAATCGATCAGAACATGACGGAACTGTGTTAACAGCAGCTGATTTTGAAGCAGTGCAGGCCTGAGTTTGGTGGGGGAAGGGTGTTCCCACGAGGGACGGAGGGAGAGAACTTCTAAACTCTGTTTTCCCTGTCTCGCGGGAGACCTGGGACTCCTCTTGGAGCCTGCATCCATCTCCACATCCATGGAAACACATTCATAACTTTCTCCTTTCCATCATCTCCTCCGCACCTGCAATTATGAAAAAAAAAAAAAAGAACATAAATGCAAAAATCGCCTATAATCACTGCTGTTACCCAGGGACAAGCTCTGCTAGCATTTCAGGTAAAAGATTCCGGGATTATTTTTTCCTATGCATATTTATACATTCATTACAGGAACGGCATCGCCTCACTCATACTGTTCCGTTTCCTAGCACTTCCACTCAACAACATGTTGTGGACATAGAGATACACATTGTTGTCTTGGGCCGTGGCCCCAAGCTCCAGGGTGGGTGACTTGGCCCTCATTTTCTTACTGAACAGTTAGGTTTCCAATCGTTTGCTGTGATGGACGTTCCTAAGCCTACAGCCCATATGAAGGAGATGTTTGTAGAAATAGAATTGTGGAGTACAGATGACTCACCCTACAAGAGCTCTTGATTCCTGACCCCAGCCAGGAAGGAGGACCCCTGTCCTCACCTGGAAAACTCTGGCTCATCATTTATCTTCCTATGTGCTCATCAGACAGGTGAAGCCATAGTGTGTTGTAGATATTTTTATTTCTTTTGGGTGAAACAGGCAGAACTTTTGCCACATAACATTTGGCTGCTTCTGTGCTTAGTGAAGCCTCTTCAGCCTGTTTTACTCAGGTGACTTTTTATTTCCATATTAGACCTCTTGATGTGTTAATGAAATTTCTACATTTGTGCCATTCATTTCTAATCAGTTTTGCTATGTTACCTTCAGGGTGCATATGTATGCGGGTTTGCTGTTGGCCTATTAGCTGTGTTCAGAGTATGTTCCTATGCTGGATGTTTCCTGCCTGCGTGTCAGTCTCTGAGATGCATACTGTTGTGGCATTGTTCATGGTGCACAATGTGGGCTCCTCCCATTTAAGAGGCAGAGCTGGCTCCAAAGTCAGTCACCCCAGCCCTGGGCCCCAGACCCCTGCATCCACACACCCATCCCGCAGCCCTGCTCAGAAGCCAGATTCATCATTCGCATTTGTCGTGTCCCCTGAAATGTGGACTTTTGTTCCCTCGTCCCTCTGCTCCTTCCCAGGTCTGCCTCTCCTCCAGTGCTTTCAGTCCATGTAAGGGCTGCTTGCCATCCTGCTGCTCAGGCCCCAAACCTGTGCTGTTTTGCCTGCCTCTCCCTCCCATCTGCTGATCATCCCATCGGCAAGTGCATGGATTCTACCCTCAAGCTGAGTCTGGAACCTAACTGCTTCTCAGCACCTGTTGCTGACCTGCGGAAGGCAGTGTGGCCACCAGCCTGGGCCGCTCTTCCATCCTCTGCAGTCTGCCCAGCAGCCGGAGAGAGCATCTCTCTGTTTTCAAGAATTTGATTCATGTGAAAGGCAGAGAGGAGTAGATGGGGGCGGGAAGGGGGGCAGAGGGAGATACAGAGATCTTTCATCTGCTGGTTACTCTCTGAATGCCTGCACACTCAGTCAGGGCCTCCCTGTGAGAGGGTTAGGGGTCCCCGGATTTGAGCCATCACTGGCTGCCTCCCAGGGTTTGCATTAGCAGGGAACTGTAATCAGAAGTGAAGCCAGACTTGAAGACAGACATTCCTGATGTGGGCAGGCAGGCATCCTGAGTGGAGCACTTAACTGCTGTGCTCCGCCCCACTCCTGAAAGTAAGCTGTTTTCCCCCCTATTTTTATTTAAAGGTATATTTATGTTTATTGGAAAGGCAGAAAGAAGGAGAGACAGAGAGAAGATCCTCCATCCACTGGTTCACTGCCCAGGTGGTCACAATAGCTGGAGCTGAGCCAGTCTGAAGCCAGGAGCCAGGAGCTTCTTCCAGGATTCCCACACAGGTGCAGACTTCCAAGGCTTTGGCTATTCTCTACTGCTTTCCCAGGCCACAAGCAGGAAGCTGGATGGGAAGCTGGCCGCCGGATCAGCCGAGACATGAACTGGCACCTATATGGGATCTTGATGCTTGCAAGGTGAGGATTTAGTTACTGAGCCATCATGCTGGGCCCAAAGGTAAGCTTTTAACAACACATCATATAGGGGCCCTAGTGAGATGGCTAAATCCTCACTTTGAAAGCGCCCAAGCCTTGGGAACCTATACCTGTGTGGGAGACCCAGAGGAAGCTCCTGGCTTCTGATCAGCTCAGCTCCAGCCATTGTGAACATTTGGGAAATGAACCAGCAGATAGAAGGTCTTTCTGTCTCTCCTTCTCTCTCTAAATCTGCGTTTCCAATAAAATAAATAAATCTCTTTTTTAAAAAGCACACGTCATGTCCCTCCTTTGCTCAAAACCCCTTGGGGGTCTCTCATCATCCCAAGGAGCCCTGTATGTAGCCCAGCCTGGTCTCCTTGCAGCTCCACACACTCTGCCTTGGTCAGCCAGCCTGGCCCCCCTCACTGTCTCCACCCCACCCCCTCTGCAACCCTGCTCATGCCTCGGGGACTTTGGTCCTTGCTGTTCCTCTGCCTCAGAACTGCAAGTCTTCTCGAATCTCAGCAAGCACTTTTCTGAACGTCCTTCGGCAGTCTGCCTTCTTCCTCCCCTCCCTTATTTTTAAAAGACTTATTATTTATTTTTTCTTTGAAAGGCATAGTTACAGAGAGAGAGAAGGAGAGACACCAAGAGAGATCTTTCATCTGCTAGTTCACTCTCCAAGTGGCCACAGTGGTCAAAGCTGAGACGATCTAAAGCCAAGAGCCAGGAGCTTCTTCTGGGTCTCTCACACAGGTGCAAGAGCCCAAGGACTTGACCCATCTTCTGCTGCTTTCCCAGGTCACAAGCAGGGAGCTGGATCATAAGTGAGCAGCCCATATGGGATGCTGGCGCTTGCAGGTGGAGGCTTAGCCTGCTTACACTGTCCCCTGTCCTTCCTTACTTTTCTTCCGAGCATTTACTATTCTTGTCTAATTTTATTGCATATGTTTCTGTCTGCTATTCCAGGAAGTTAGGGACTTTGATGCTTAGTGGGTGGGTGTTACATGTTCATATTTAGATGAATAAGTACAATAGACAAATGTGTGTGAATGAGAGGTTTCCTGTGGATCTATCTGTTGCAGAACAGAAAAGTGTGAGAAGGTCTGTGTGGAACTGCGGGCCACGGCATGGGATTTGTGTGTGTGGAGAAGATGGCTTCTGTGCACACCCTGCCCCCCTGTGTCTGTGTGTTTGTGCATGAGATAGGTGCGTTTGCCAGCAGCAGCGTGCCTGTGTGCGTGCTGTGGATATTTGGCTACCATACTTGGGTCTGTTTCCGTGAGGTCTGATGGACCTGCCACTGTCCCTGCCTTTCCCTACAGCCCCCACTCCTACATCTTTGGAATTCTGCAGGTGTAGGGTCATATTCCAAAAAGGACACTTCTGCCACCAGGATGGGAGGGTTTGGAGAGGGGTGGGAGGAATCCCAGAGCCTGTAAAACTGTGTCACATACTGCAATGTAAATAATTTTTAAAAAAGGACACTTCTGGTGGAGGCGCTCAGCCAAGGACTGTGTGGGCGTGGGGGCATCTGGGGCTGTTGGGACATCAGGGGTCAGCTGCTCCTCCGAGCCATCTCTGGAGGAGCCATGTGCCATCTGATGAACAGGATAACTTCCTTGGAGTAACTGGTGTGAAAGCATGAGCTGTGAGCAATGGGGTAGCACCTGCTTGGCCTGTGTGGCCTGAACATGTCTTTGATTCTTTTTGGAGCCTCAGTAGACTGACCTGCAGAGGAGGCTTGTGGCTCGTGGCTTGTTTGCCCCTTGTGGGGTTGTGGTGAGGACTCAGAAGGAAAGGGTAATGGCTGAACAGTACTGTTCTTCCCTACAACTTTTGGGGCTTAGGCCTTGAAGGGGAACCAGCTCTGAGCTTGGCTCTAGGAGACCTCAGTGGGTGTTGCTGGAATAAATAGCACATATGTGAGTGAGTGAATGACAGTACAGGCGAGGAAGGGCCTGGGAAATCCAATGAAGAGAGGTTGGTACATTTATTTTAGTGAGAAACAAATCAAAGCCCATGCACATACATTTTCCACAAAATTCTTGGAAATGCCTTTATGACGTGCTCAACACCACAAAGCTCCTGAGTAGTAGACAACCCAGGCAGTCTGGGCATCAAACCCTGTGCTGAGACTGAGTCAACACATGCATGGGCAGCAAATGGGCGAGTGAATGCAGGGGCCCTCAATGACAGCTAGACAAGTAGCTTTTTGATGGGGAGGCAGAAGCTCACAACAGTGACGTGGGCCTCCAGGATCTGAATCAGGTGGGTCCCCCTGGGAGAGTCTGAGGATCCTGCTTACAGCTCCTGTCCTGCTTGTCTGCAGGTGGCAGCCGCCATGCAGCACTACGGGGTCAATGGCTACTCACTGCATGCCATGAACTCACTCAGCGCCATGTACAATCTGCACCAGCAGGCGGCCCAGCAGGCCCAGCACGCCCCCGACTACCGGCCATCAGTGCACGCACTTACACTGGCTGAACGACTGGCTGGTAAGGGCGGTGGGGCTGGGACCAGGAGGCTCTGTCAGTGCAGAGAACAGGAAGGTGGGAGGGGGATCAGAAATTCCCAGATCTCTCAGACCCCACCTCGCAAGTTTCCTGGGCTGAGCGCTAGAGCTGTCCTTGGCCTATGAAGGATACTCATTTGCTCCATGCCATGGAATGAGGTTGAGGATACAGGCCTAGTCTGGAGTGTTTCAGGCCCAGGGAGGCATAAATGGCTTTGTAGACACCATGTGAGGCTCCCTGTATCTGGGCACAGCAACCATTCAGTCCCCAAAGTTTATTTCTGTTTCTTCCATAAGGAATTTGAGGCCCCAGGAAGTTAAGTCTGGATGGGAACATGGCATTACAGCTAAACGCAGGCACTTTGGAGGTCAAACTGCAGTTGACACAGGGTTGGCCACAGTTGTCTTCCCCAAGCTTCAGTTTCCCTTTTGCAAAAGGAACAATGAGCAGATTCATCCTATAGGACTAAGAGATGGGGTTGTTGGAGCCGAAATATTCAAAGTGCTTTGCAGAGCCTGGCACCTGAGCCCAAGTTGCATAATATATCCAAGGCCAAGGACAGCAGCAAGTGCCCATGGGGGAGCTGCCCCCTGGTCTCTTCCCTCCTGCCTCCACTGACTTACTGCCTAGTCTACTGCGAGGATTCTAGGACATAGGTAGGGAGCTTCATTTACTGGGAAGTGACACCACCAGATTGTCTTGTTGCAGGCCAAGCCTTGAGCAGCTGATAGACCCATGTGAGCTCAGCCCTGTGTCCCTAGTCCTCAAAGACTTCAGAGGTCCCAGGAACCCCCGAGAGGGCCTGACAGTGTGCCACACAGGCCAGTTCAGAGCAGCAGGATTGGCTTGCACCATTGGGAGGGTTTACTGTAGGCCTGAAAAAGCCACAGCATAGAGGCAGCAAACAGCAGCAGGAACAAAGTGGCTTTTGAGGACCCTCCCTGGGAAGGCACCTGCCCAACAGGGAGGATATGGCCACTCCCAGGGCAAGACTGAGGGGTGAACTGGAGGCTCTGGTCACATTGTCTTGATCAGTATCGGTCAGAGGAAAGGGGGTGTTCAGTCTACCCACTCCTCACCTCTTCAGAAGGATGGGCTGAGCTCCAGTGGGCCTTTGCATGGGGTCTGTCATTTTGGGGGGAAGTGCAGGAGGTATGAAACAGTCCCCTTTAATGCAGCTGGCAAGAAGATGCCTCGCCTTCTTCCAACCAGAAAGGAGCTGCCTGTCCCTGCTTCCTTCCCTGTTCCAAGCACACTGGTGTGAGCTCAGGGCTTCATCTGGGTTACAGTTAGGGCAGGCTGGGGTGGAGTTTCAAGGCTTCCCTGCTTAAACTGAAGCAAGAGCATCTCGGAGTCTGGGGATGCAAGGGCACCCAGGTGCTATGTCAGGTGCTATGGAGGACTCACAGGTCCCTGGGACTTGAGGGCTCCGCCTAGAGGCTGAAATGACTCAGGTTCCCTCCAGAGAGGGCAGGGTTGACTTGGGTGGGATGGGAAATTCCCACCACTGCTAGGGAAGATCAAATGAAAGAGCAGAAGTCTGGACACCACCCTGGGTTGCCACTGTCCCAAGTGACTCTCTTGTTCCGATACATAAAAGACCACAGGATCCATAGCCCACCAGCCCTGCGTCTCTCCGAAGCCTGTACCATTGGAACCTGGTCTCTCTGTCCTGTTCCTAGGGTGGTAGCCAGAGGGTCAAGGTGGGTGCCAACAAGCCTGCCGTGAGTCTCAGGGGGGTCTGCCCATGCCAGACTTTCTACCCAGGAGACATAGCAGGAGGAACCATGAAGACCACCTTGGTTGAGAGAGTCACACATGGACAACAGAAAACCAAGGGCTGGTGGAGGCTGCCCAGCAGACCTCCCTCCCCTGAGTAGGCCTTGGATGCTGAGTGTCATATGCTAAGGAAGCCTTCATACTGCAGACCCTAAGGGCCGTGGGGCAGCAGCACCTTTTGATGTGAGTGTGATCTGACATGCAGGCTCAGAGTGTCTTACAGCTTATGAAACTTTAAGGATCTTAGGGCCATGCCCACCTGCCAACCCTCCTGCCAGATCAGGGACACGCCCAAGGGCCGTTCCAGAGCTCAGTTAGATTTCACTCTGAAGGCCCAGCAGCGCATGGTGAGTTGGAGAGGCCTTGATAATCCTGTCACACAGAGAGGGGATGCATGATTTCCAAGGATGCACAGCCAGGACTGGCTCCTGCAGCAGCCTTGGTGTCTCTGCAGTAGGTCAGGACGGGAGATGCATGGCCTGTTTCCCATAATTAAATGGGCCCCCTCTCCTTGCCCTCCAACGGCTGTACATTTCAAGACATCATCTTGGAGGCCCGCTATGGTTCCCAGCACCGCAAGCAACGGCGCAGCCGCACAGCATTCACGGCCCAGCAGCTCGAAGCTCTGGAAAAGACATTCCAGAAGACACACTACCCAGACGTGGTGATGCGTGAGAGGCTGGCCATGTGTACAAACCTGCCTGAGGCCCGGGTGCAGGTAGGGCTCAGTTCCCCATTTCCCAGGAGCAACCATATCCTCTCCCAGTGGCAAGGGGCATTGGTCTCTCCATCTGTGCCATCAAGGGTACAGGGGTGGGGGCGGCATTCTCAACAGTCCTCTCCCAGAGCACCCTGGGCCTGCACACCTGCTCTTCCCCACCTTTGGCTGCTCTGCTCCCGCCCCTCATCTCCAGGTGTGGTTCAAGAACCGCAGGGCTAAATTCCGGAAGAAGCAGCGCAGCCTGCAGAAGGAGCAGCTCCAGAAGCAGAAGGATGCAGAGGGCTCCCACAGTGAAGGCAAGACCCAGACCCCTCCCCCAGACCCACAGCTGGAGACCGAGCAGCCTCCCAGCCTGCCCAGCGGCGACCCCCCTGCTGAGCTGCACCTGAGCCTTTCCGAGCAGTCGGCCAGTGAGTCAGCCCCTGAGGACCAGCTGGACCAGGTGGAGGAACCCCGGGCAGTGGTGGCAACCGAGGATTCCAAAGTGGAGAAGAACCCGGGGGCTGAGAACAAGGGACTGGGCTGCAAAAGGGGCAGCCCCAAGTCAGGTGAGGCTAAGGGACGCTACAGGGGCTGGAGCTTCAGTGCAGGGACGGGGACCTGGGCCCGCTGTGTTGGTCAGGGCAGGGGTTTCATTGACAACTGGCACACGGGCATGGTGACTAGAGAGGATTTGCTGGGGCAGATGCCTGGTGTTCACCCTGTTGTTGCTGAATCTCGGAACAGTAGGTTCCCTAGGGTGCTGTGAGAGGGATGGGCTAGCAGGGAAGGGGCACTTTGGGAATCCAGGACAAACCTTATGTTTTAACCATTTGGAAGAAGCCCAGTATTTTCACGAACAGTACACACTATGCATATGCTTTGCTTGTGCAGACTCAGAGTCCCACCCAGAGAAATGTCATTTCTCCGCCCCTGCCACTAAGCCCTAGAGTTGGAGGGATGGGAGCTGTGGACAGCAGGGGACAGGCAGGTGACAGCCCTTGCAAAGCAAATACCCCTCAAGAACTCAGACACAGGTCCCCTGGCCCTGGATTCTGGGTGAGGCTACAGGAATGCTGAGTTGGGGTGGTTAGGAAGACAGCCGAAGTCCTTGCTGTCCACAGTACCTCGCGTCCCTCCTGGCCCCTCGGTCCCCTCCTCCTGAACCCTTGGTGTTTGCTTCTCTGCTTGCAGATTCTCCAGGCAGCCTAGCCATAGCGCCTACAGCTCCGGGGGGCGGCCTCCTGGGTCCCTCCCACTCGTACTCCTCGTCCCCGCTGAGCCTCTTCCGCCTACAGGAGCAGTTCCGCCAGCACATGGCGGCCACTAACAACCTAGTGCACTACTCGTCTTTCGAAGTGGGGGGCCCTGCCCCCGCCGCCGCTGCCGCCGCCGCCGCTGCCGCCGTGCCCTACCTGGGCGTCAACATGGCCCCGCTAGGCTCACTGCACTGCCAGTCCTACTACCAGTCGCTGTCAGCAGCTGCTGCTGCCCACCAGGGCGTGTGGGGGTCCCCGCTGCTGCCTGCTCCCCCTGCAGGCCTGGCGCCTGCCTCGGCCGCCCTGAACAGTAAAACCACGAGCATTGAGAACCTGCGGCTCCGAGCCAAGCAGCATGCCGCCTCACTGGGACTGGACACACTGCCCAACTGACTGACTGGCCGCCGCCAATCCAGCCGGGGGTCTTGGGTGCCCCTCCCTCCCAGCCCCGTGGTTTCCCCGAAGGCTCTCAGGGAGTTCACTGTTGGGAGCCCAGGGACTTCTGCTCCCTGTCCCGCCCTGCCCTGAGCCTGGATCCCCAACCTGGAGGTGAGACCCACTTACCCTCTGCATGGCCCTGCCTGGACCCAGGGAGGTGATGAGAAGCCAGGGATGTCCCCAGCTTTCCTCTCCCTGGCTAGACCCCCCCACCTCGGATCTGCCTCCTTCCTCCCACCCTCCCATCCCCCTAGTAAGTGGATGTGTGGAATGTGAGATATAAATATAAATATATAAAGCTCTATTTTCAGGCTTCCGCCTGCCCCAGGACCCCACCTGGCTCCATGGTCCCTGCCCCTCAGCTGGCTTGTTCCATTCTCTCTCCCTCTCTCTCTTTTTTTCTCCCTGTGCCTGTCCCCTCGTTGCCTTCTCCCCACCTGTTCTGGACTCTCCATTCCCCACCCCACCCCCCAATTTTCTCCCGTGTCTCAGACCCTGCCCTGAGTTTTTCTTTGGGGCTGGCTGAGTTTTTGTCTTCAATCTCGAGGCTCTGTCCTGTTTGGGGTTGTGGGTTTTTTATATTGTAGTCATCTTGTTTCTTCCTGTGCTCCTTGCCATCTTCCTTTGGCTTCTCCCTTGCCTGCCCATCTCCTCTGCTATCTGCACCCTTTCTGGGCAGCTACTGTGTTCCATGTGCCCAGGGGTCATGAGCCCCTTGCTAGACATGCTGGAGGCAGGAGGTGGCACAGGCCCCTAGCACCCTGCCCCCACCCCCAGGCCACATCTCTGGAAAGGGGTTTGAGATGTGAAACCATAGCTTGGAGGCTCCAGTTGCTGTGAGTGAGGGGAGAAGTAGTGTGGAGGCAGGTCAGGCCAAGGTGGGTGGTCGGATGGTCAGCACCCTTGCAGCGCTGGCCCTAGGCTCTGTCACGGTTTTAGGTGAGGCCGCGCCCCACTTCTCCTGGCGGGAGGAGAATGGGAGCAGGAGAGGGGATCCTGTTAAAGAAAACAGGGCTGGCATGCCCACAGCCTCATGCCCTGGCATTTCAGGGTTCGTCTGAGCCAGGAACAGAAGTGAGACCCCAACACAGCTGGGCAGCCGCCCCAGCTGCCGTTGGTGTCAGAGCTACCTGTTGAAGTGAGGGCTTCTGTCTGTCGGCCACTGGCATGGAAAGGCATGCTCCAGTTTATGGCCAGGAGACTCAGTTGAGCCTAGTCCCTTTCAGAGCTGTGTGGCCTTGGGTAAGGCTGTGCTTCCCTGGACCTATTTCCCCGTGGGGGTAAGATGGCCTGAATGGTTCTGTTCAGCTCTCGCAGCCTGCGTTCTGTACTCACAACCTTGCAGGAGAGAAGTCTGTAGTTAAGCCAGCAAAGAAGGCTCTTGGAACAAGTGCTGCACACAGGCCTTGCTGGGGCACTGCCTCAGTTTCCCAGGAAATGTAATGGCTCTTGTCTACTTCAGACAACTTGGTTTGGTCCTTTTTTCTTGAGTTCCAGTGCTAGCCCTTGGAGTTACCCCATTTCCACACCTTTGCATGGTTTCAGAGGGTTTGGGTGCAGGGAAGGGAATGACTGGGGCAGATTTCCTGGTCATGGTGCTCCCCACTGAGCCCCTCCCTCCTGCTTAGAGAAACCGACTTGCAAACTGCAGTGGAGCCGCCTACAGCTTGCCTCTCCTTCCAGAGGGTGCCCAGGCAGGCATGGTTGGCAGAGCAGTCGATGCCCATCACCCCCTGGACATCAGGCTGGGACTGGAGCAGATGGAGAAGGCTCTGGAAAGGAAACAAATGAGACATCAGAAAGTATTTCCACAAAGTGGCTAAAGTCAGACTGGATAGTGAGGCAGGGAGCGCTGACTTCAGCAGACGTGTGGGGTGGGCAGAACCCAGGTGCAAAGTCCTCACCCCAAGGGGCAAGCACCAAGTGGACAGTGCAGGGTTTATGAACAGAGGTGTCTGGCTGCTGGGGCTTGGGGTTTGGAAGGGGCACTCAGCAGGCACCGGAGCATCAGAGATAGGACATAGTGCTGGGAGATTAGAAAAGACTCTGGCAGAGACAGAGGGGGTCTGAGTTTAGGTAGGGTTCTGGGGCCCGTAGCCCATAAACAGTCCTTGGAGATTAACTGTGGAAGTGGCATTTCTGAAATGAAAAAATCTCACCTGGACGAGGCAACGAAGTTGAGCATTTGCCCATCCCTGGGTGTGTGTGACCTTAGAATTCAACAGTCATGGGTATGCCCACATCCTCCAGGAAGTCTGCTCTGACCTCTTGAGGTGCAAGGCCACTTGAGGCTCAGCCAGTTCCCTTTGGATCTTTAACTCTCCTCCCACTTGGCTAACCCCAACCACAGGGCCAGGGAAGACAGGGAGGGTCCATGTGGTCCCATGCCTCTGGGTGGTCTCAGGCAGTTTACAGCACCAGCCTCAGATGCCGGCAGGACCTGGAGAGCAAGAAAGGACACGTGTGGAAGTAGCCCTGTGTGCATTCTGGTGGAACCTGAGGGCATGGACTTATGTACCTGGCTCCCTACACCTGGCACTGAACCTGGAACCCCTCTCCCAGACCTGCCAGCCACTCCAGGCTCAAGCTGTCCCTTCCTCCTGCCTCCTTCCTTTTTCCAATCCAAAGTCTCCCTCTGTTGCCTCACTCCCACCCAGAGAATGGCCAGGGCCTGGGCCCCCTCCTCTGTCCTGGGGCTGGCGGGCTATATGGACTGCTTCCCTAGCCGGCTGTTTTGTGCCCATTTTGTGCTTAGAAGTCGTGCCAGCCTGTGACAGAAACACTGTGTACTGTATTTATTTATTCTGTTAGTTGAAATAACCGGACTCGCAGCTCCTTCCTTGCCCTGCCCCAGCGTAGTGCAGCATGACACCGTCCCGTGTATCTGTCCGTCCGTTGGCTCTCCTTTCTGTGATGTTGTGACCTGTTCTTTGTCCTACTTGGCTAATAAAAAAGAACCCAGCAGCACGGTCCTTGGTCTGTGTTCATTCCCAGAGATGCCCGCTGTGGACCAGGCAGGCTGAGGCTCAAGGTCTGTCCACTGTATCTCCCACATCATGGCCAGTGGGCAGGGTGGTAGGCCTGCCCTGTAATTGGCCATTTCGTTAGTCTTGAGGCACTCTTTGCATCAGCAACCTGGGGTGGTGGTGGTGGTGGATGGGGAGGGTAGTTTGTTCAGCACAGCCTGGGACAGGAGACATGGGAAAGCCAGGGCCAGAGGAGAATGACAGGGATGTTGGTTTGGGTCCAACACCAGTGGGGGCATAGGGAGGGAGAGTGGGGCATTGCAGAAGGAGTGAACTCTTTGTCCTTAGAGGTAAGCAAGTAGATAAAGAAGGGTTTTTGACTGCAATGAGACCGATGTGTGTGTGCACACACTATCCTAAGTATGTATAAAGGCTGTGGGAACCATGGGCCACCAGCCCCTGTGGGTGCGTACACACACACACACACACACACACACACACACACGTGTGCCAGTGAGTCTGGGAGACTACAGAAGAAAGCATGCCACTCGGCTCTTGCTGTGCAATCTGCTGCATTTCAAGAAAAAGGACAGTTCCCCGCAGCTCAGCTGGCTCTACTCTGCCTCTCCAGAGTTCCAGAATCAGTAGCTTGGGGCTGGGACTTGGGGAGTGTGGAACATCTCCTTGCCCAAGGACCCCAGTAAGCCTGAGGCAAGAGCATGGAGGAGTGTGTAGGGAGTTGCCTGCCAGGCTGGGAGTGTGCAGGGAGCTGCCTGCCAGGCTGCCTGGGGCAGGCCCCAGGCCCTGGGAGACGCATTCCTGTCTGCTGGGGAGGTGGGAACTAAGGATTAGGGCGGGAAGCACCCCCCTTCACCTTGCCTTCCGCCTCCCTGGGCGGGGACAACAGATCAAATGTCTATTCCAACCTCCACTGCTGCCTGCCTGCCCTGTGCCACCCCTGGACCCCCGAGCTCCCTGCACACCCTAAGTGCCTTCTTTGAATTTCAGTCCTCAGGGACACATGCCTTCTGAGGCTGGAGGGTAACTGGGAAATTCAAATCCCTGATTCACCATGCACTGACTGGGCACCTGCTGTATGCCCCGGCCCTTGAAACACAGAAACAAGGAAAGAAAGTGTGGACCTCTTTTCTCAGACAACTGTGACACAGAGTGACTTAGGGTTCACAGCCGAGTGGCAGGAGCACTGAACAGGGTCCAGAGAAAAGACACCTTGGCAGAGGCTCAGCACGAAGGAAGCAGCAGGACTCAGTCGGCCAGAGGCCTCTTGGGGGCAGGGAATGGCTGTCAGCAGATAAAATGGACCCAGGCTTGGACTCAAACCCAGGGACCAGGGCTGCAAGGCTATTCCTGGCAGAAGAGTCATATGGCCAGGTCTGAGTGACACCCCACCCCATCCCAGCATACCCACCTGGCGGTGAAGGGGTTCATGAAAAAGAGCTAGAGTCAAAAAGCTCAGCAAGGAGGCCGTTGTCTTGTCCAGGGAACGGAAGGTGGCATTGGTCTGAGATAGCGGAAGGAAGAAGGGAGAAGAGATGGATGGGATGGAGGAAAGATTTAGGAGGTACAATCACCATGACAACTGTAGGATGGGAAGGGAGGAAGGTTTGGCACAGTGTGGATGGATGGGGACCCCTGCCTCGGGAGAGCATCACAGAATGCTCTGAGGTGCAAGTGGGTCTTACCTGCTGCTTGGAGGGGCTTCCTGTTTCAGGGAGAAGGCGAAAAGGCTTCTGCTGCTGATGGACAAACGCTCCCATGGCTCTTTCCTGGCACTGGCACCGTACCAGTCAGAGGCCACCTACCCCTCACACAAGCCTGGGAGGCAAGTGCTATTTGGCGTTTTGCAGTGAGGGAACTCGGGCACAGAGCAGATCAGTGACTTGTGAAGGATCAAAAGCTAGTAACAGGCCAGCCCAGGGAGGCACCTGGCTTACCTGGGACCCACAGTTTGCTCTCAGTGATCAGTGA